AATGCAGTCGCCCTAAAGTTTCAGTCTATGAACGCGCTTGCGATAGAACCAAGGGAGACCAATGGGATGAAAATCTCAAAGATTATTGCACTAAGGAGCACGCGCGACTGTGCCTAAACGCAGCAATAGAAAGTAACTGAACTTTGACACGAAGACAATTTAGACCAATCACAGGAAAAAAGCACAGTTGAGAGTGAGAGCAATTGATAGTTTCAAAGGATGATGCCCACTCTAGTATGGATGTTCGTCCCGTCCATTGCTTGCCTCACTACTTGCACGCCTCGCATCAAAGCTAAATTTAATAAAGTCTCATTACTTATTGCTTGACATTTTGTTACTGAAAATAATTAAATTATGATAGAAGTTCTGAACTTATAGTAGGTATCGAAAGGGACAAAAGTGCTGAAGTTTGGCTGTATATCAAGTATTTCGTTCTAAATTCGTTATCGTTAGCTATACTTAAGCAGTGTAAAAAAGGTTCACATCACTGTAAAACTTTTGGTAAAAATACCTAACAGTAGAAGCACCTTTAAAAATTAAGTAAGTTTCCCTGTTATGTAAAACAATCGCCGTAGCTATTCTTCATTAAAATTGAAGACATTACATATTGCTTAAATTTTGATTTTGATGCGAGACAATTTCTTGGACCTGAAATGGTCATTCGCCTTTCCTAGCTTAGAGCTCAGTGTTGCTGATGAAGATGATGATGTTGACAAAGTGACTTGTTTTCAGGCCGCCGCTACGACGAGGAGGGCAACTTGAAGCAGTGGTGGTCTGCAGCCACTCTAGAGCACTACCACGGGAAGGTGCAGTGCATCATCGACCAGTACAGCAAGTACCATATGCCGCAGCTACCTAACTATACTGTGAGTGACAATGTCATATACATCAGCAGTACTATCTACATGTACACTACCACTCTAGAGCACTACCACGGGAAGGTGCAGTGCATCATCGACCAGTACAGCAAGTACCACATGCCGCAGCTACCTAACTATACTGTGAGTGACAATGTCATATACATCAGCAGTACTATCTATATCTACACTAATCAATCATAGACCAGTACAGCAAGTACCATATGCCGCAGCTACCTAACTATACTGTGGTGACAATGTCATATACATCAGCAGTACTATCTATATCTACACTAATCAATCATAGACCAGTACAGCAAGTACCATATGCCGCAGCTACCTAACTATACTGTAAGTGACAATGTCATATACATCAGCAGTACTATCTATATCTACACTAATCAATCATAGACCAGTACAGCAAGTACCATATGCCGCAGCTACCTAACTATACTGTGAGTGACAATGTCATATACATCAGCAGTACTATCTATATCTACACTAATCAATCATAGACCAGTACAGCAAGTACCATATGCCGCAGCTACCTAACTATACTGTGAGTGACAATGTCATATACATCAGCAGTACTATCTATATCTACACTAATCAATCATAGACCAGTACAGCAAGTACCATATGCCGCAGCTACCTAACTATACTGTGAGTGACAATGTCATATACATCAGCAGTACTATCTATATCTACACTAATCAATCATAGACCAGTACAGCAAGTACCATATGCCGCAGCTACCTAACTATACTGTGAGTGACAATGTCATATACATCAGCAGTACTATCTATATCTACACTAATCAATCATAGACCAGTACAGCAAGTACCATATGCCGCAGCTACCTAACTATACTGTGAGTGACAATGTCATATACATCAGCAGTACTATCTACATGTACACTACCACTCTAGAGCACTACCACGGGAAGGTGCAGTGCATCATCGACCAGTACAGCAAGTACCATATGCCGCAGCTACCTAACTATACTGTGAGTGACAATGTCATATACATCAGCAGTACTATCTACATCTACACTACCACTCTAGAGCACTACCACGGGAAGGTGCAGTGCATCATCGACCAGTACAGCAAGTACCATATGCCGCAGCTACCTAACTATACTGTGAGTGACAACCACTACAAAGGACCCCGCACGATTTGTTCGACATGGGCCGTCCGGTCAAATTGGCTAAAATGTTGGGGAAAAGTAGTACGTAATGGTCTCTTCAAAATGTAAAAAAATCAGCGAGCGGAAATGACCAGTTTTTGAGATATAGCTATTTTAATATTGAAGTCACAAAACATACTTTGATGTAAAAACGTAACTCATTGAGTCAAATGTCATATTCTTACTTATTTTTTACGTTCATCTGTATAAAACCAACCCACGAGGTAAATATTTCAATTGGAAAAGTGTCTGTTTCGGGTATCTTACACATTATATATCAGCAAGGCGAACTTGATCGCCTTAGCTTATACAAGATACAGCAATGGCTCCAAAGCAAAAGTTGTTTAATATAATAGGCCGCTTTTGCTGGAACATGGACACCAAAAGTCTAAAGTAGACCACCAGGACCCCATCTAAACCATAAAATATACAGAAATGCTTCCATAACAAAAGCTGTTCACCATGATGAATCGCTTTGGCTAACAGATTGACGTCGAGGTTCTGGAGTACTTGATGTAGACAACCAGGACCTCAACTATATAGGATACGGAAATGCTTTCATAGCAAAAGTTGTTTAACATGTTAAGCCGTTTTTGCTGGCACTTTCATATCAAGCGTTTGAAGATCCTGGGGTAGAACGTGCAATGATCCTATTCCTACGGGAAAGCGGGGAAGTAACAGCTCTAGTTATGAATATGTTGCGGCCAACTAGTTAAAATGCTGTTCAAATGCACAGATTGCTTTTTAACCAAGCAGTACCATTCAACCACACCACTAAACGTTCATTAGCTAAATGGTTGACACAACGTTTAACAGTTCATTCCATAATTCCATTCCATGAAATGCCCAACTAAAGAATTAGATGTATGGTTGAATGGCGTTGTTTGAATAATGTTTGAGCTAGCTGTGATTTAATGCTTTATTTAGCCAGTTGAAATAGCCAGTGTTAACATAATGTTGTTATGGAAATCTCTTATAGTTAAGACGAGGTCCTGGTGGTCTACATCAGGTACTCCAGAACCTTAACGTCAATCTGTTAGCAAAAGCGGTACATCAAACGTAAGATCTATTGCTATGGAGACATTTCTGTACATTTTATGGTTTAGATGGGGTCCTGGTGGTCTACTTTAGACTTTTGGTGTCCATGTGCCAGCAGAAGCGGCCTATTATGCTAAACAACTTTTGCTTTGGAGCCATTGCTGTATCTCTTATAGCTCAGGCAATCTAGTTTACCTTGCTGATATATAATGTGTAAAATACCCGAAACAGACACTTTTCCAATTAAAATAATTACCTCGTGGGTTGGTTTTATACAGATGAACGTAAAAAATATTTAAGAATATGACATTTGACTTAATGAGTTACGTTTTACATCAAAGTATGTTTTGTGACTTTAACATTAACCTTCCCCATCCCAGTACTACGAAATGTCAAAAACCGCTATTTCCCAAGCGTTTTGAAACGTATTGGGAATGAGCGACCTGATATCGAGTCAGTGGTACAAAGAGGCATTTTTCTCGCTGACCCGATATCAGGGGGGTTTCACTCCGCGGTTTAGGTATTACCCGCCCGGCTGCTCCCTGAAGGAGCGAATCTCGGTCGGTTGTCGCGCGCGAGATTCACCGCACGTTTGTACCTACGTATTCGGGTTATTTCTTCAGAAGTGTTATTTTGTGTTTCGAAAGTGGATTATAAACCAAAAAAATGGCTAGCCATGGACCTCGCAAATACTGCAGTATAGATATATGTAAGAACAATATAAAAAAGAACCCGGAAATAAGTTATTTCGTTATTCCGAAGGAGATGGGAAAATAAATTCCTTCTAAAATTGTATTTTGATAATTTTCAAATACTTGTTTATTTCTAACATTGGTCATAGTACAGGTACCTACAACAACTGGGACCGACTTTTGCTTCAGGTCGTTCAAATCCTAACCAGACTGAGAACAAATTTATATCGTGATAATAGATAGGTAAGTCGGTAGGTAGGTATCAATTTTGCGTAAGCTTCACTTTCTATCATCTCATAAGATTAGTAGGTAGGTAGGTACTTACTATTGTATAATGTTACGCTAGCTTAATTAAAATTCGATTTAAAAAACTTGCAATACTTGTCTTGTAGTTACCTAGAATACCTATGTACCTACTAAACAGATAAATTAAATACCTACTCGATTATAGTGACAACCCTTTGAGAGCGCGCGCGGCCGGGTCATTGTCCGGCGGCGTCCACTGGAGATTGAGCCGTTCGCGCGCAGTAATAAGTTTCAATTTTGCTTGCGGGCGGTCGGCTAAGCCGAGAGTAGGTATCTTTTTATACCTAATCACGGCTTTTGTTAAGGAGTGAATTTTCTGTACCCTAGTACTATTATATATTCTGTGCCGATATCAAGCCAGTGGTATTCAAGAGGTTAAAATAGCTATATCTCAAAAACTGGTAATTTCCGCTCGCTGTTTTTTTTACATTTTGTTGAGACCATCACGTACTTACTACCTTTCCCCAAAATTTTAGCCAAATTGACCGGACGGCCCTTGTCGAACAAATCGTGCGGGGTCCTTTAGGCAACAATCAATACATTAGTATAAAATGAAGTCGCGTTTTGCCTCTGTCTGTCGTGGAATTGGCTAACTCCTAAACTACCTACGCAACGGATTTTGAAAATGCCTTTTTCCCGCGGGAAATTGAGTTAGCGGGTGAAACCACTAACGTGCCGCTAGTAGAAAATATAGGTACATCAGCAGTAGGTATTATTAACTATTCAAATATAGATGAAGTTTCGGCTCATGCAATACATGCTAATACTACTTTAAAAACTACCTGCTACGATGTACAGAATACTAGCTGCCTACCTAAAACTTAACACAGACTATTCTGTAAAAACTGTATAGGTAGAATACCAAATTTTAAAACACTTCTCGTGTTAGGTAAACAATTTTTGGAAAACTTCCAAAATTTTCACCGCAGGCAGGATTTGAACCTGCGACCTTCGGCATCAGTAGTAATCAGTACTGCCGACGCCCTAACCAACTGGGCTACCGCGGTTCCAATCGAGCCCGCGAAATTAAGGAAGTATATCATGTCCACTATCGCGTGGATGGGCTCCATCTACCGGGATAGTTTTCGCGGGCTCGATTGGAACCGCGGTAGCCCAGTTGGTTAGGGCGTCGGCAGTACTGATGCCGAAGGCACAGAATATATAATAGTACTAGGCCGAAGGTCGCAGGTTCAAATCCTGCCTGCGGTGAAAATTTTGGAAGTTTTCCTTAAACCGTATAGGTAATTTATTGAATTAAATTCACATGCTAACAAACCGCAAAAAGTAATCATTACATAGACAAAATCACGGAATTTAAATAGCTAAACTACAGAACAGTCAGACTGAATAGTCTGTGTTAAGTTGTAGGTGATATGTTAAAAAGTTTCCCTATCAGCCACAATGTTAAAATGTTGACATTTTGACGAAATAAGTAACCAGACAGAAGATTGTTGAAATAGCAAAATGTAATAATAGCAAGTTAAAATACTAATTAAATGAACATTTTACAACCAGGTCCACGGCTTCAACACGCAAGGCGAGAACATCGCGGACAACGGTGGACTGCGCGCCGCCCTGAACGCGTACTCGTTGTTCACGCAGCGGCACCCGGCCGCCAAGCGAGACACGCTGCCTGGTCTGCCGCACTACAAGCCGCAACAGCTGTTCTTCCTCGGCTTTGCGCAGGTAATGTTGTATACAACTGACACTCTGAACGCGTACTCGTTGTTCACGCAGCGGCACCCGGCCGCCAAGCGGGACACGCTGCCTGGTCTGCCGCACTACAAGCCGCAACAGCTGTTCTTCCTCGGCTTTGCGCAGGTAATGTTGTATACAACATGGCGGACACTGTGCGTACTCGTTGTTCACAAGAGGGACACGCTGCCTGGTCTGCCGCACTACAAGCCGCAACAGCTGTTCTTCCTCGGCTTTGCGCAGGTAATGTTGTATACAACTGACACTCTGAACGCGTACTCGTTGTTCACAAGAGGGACACGCTGCCTGGTCTGCCGCACTACAAGCCGCAACAGCTGTTCTTCCTCGGCTTTGCGCAGGTAATGTTGTATACAACATGGCGGACACTGTGCGTACTCGTTGTTCACAAGAGGGACACGCTGCCTGGTCTGCCGCACTACAAGCCGCAACAGCTGTTCTTCCTCGGCTTTGCGCAGGTAATGTTGTATACAACATGGCGGACACTGTGCGTACTCGTTGTTCACAAGAGGGACACGCTGCCTGGTCTGCCGCACTACAAGCCGCAACAGCTGTTCTTCCTCGGCTTTGCGCAGGTAATGTTGTATATAACATGGCGGACACTATGCGTACTAGTTGTTCACAAGAGGGACACGCTGCCTGGTCTGCCGCACTACAAGCCGCAACAGCTGTTCTTCCTCGGCTTTGCGCAGGTAATGTTGTATATAACATGGCGGACACTGTGCGTACTAGTTGTTCACAAGAGGGACACGCTGCCTGGTCTGCCGCACTACAAGCCGCAACAGCTGTTCTTCCTTGGCTTTGCGCAGGTAATGTTGTATACAACTGACACTCTGAACGCGTACTCGTTGTTCACGAGAGACACGCTGCCTGGTCTGCCGCACTACAAGCCGCAACAGCTGTTCTTCCTCGGCTTTGCGCAGGTAATGTTGTATACAACATGGCGGACACTGTGCGTACTCGTTGTTCACAAGAGGGACACGCTGCCTGGTCTGCCGCACTACAAGCCGCAACAGCTGTTCTTCCTTGGCTTTGCGCAGGTAATGTTGTATACAACTGACACTCTGAACGCGTACTCGTTGTTCACGAGAGACACGCTGCCTGGTCTGCCGCACTACAAGCCGCAACAGCTGTTCTTCCTCGGCTTTGCGCAGGTAATGTTGTATACAACATGGCGGACACTGTGCGTACTCGTTGTTCACAAGAGGGACACGCTGCCTGGTCTGCCGCACTACAAGCCGCAACAGCTGTTCTTCCTTGGCTTTGCGCAGGTAATGTTGTATACAACTGACACTCTGAACGCGTACTCGTTGTTCACGAGAGACACGCTGCCTGGTCTGCCGCACTACAAGCCGCAACAGCTGTTCTTCCTGGCTTTGCGCAGGTAATGTTGTATACAACTGACACTCTGAACGCGTACTCGTTGTTCACGAGAGACACGCTGCCTGGTCTGCCGCACTACAAGCCGCAACAGCTGTTCTTCCTTGGCTTTGCGCAGGTAATGTTGTATACAACTGACACTCTGAACGCGTACTCGTTGTTCACGAGAGACACGCTGCCTGGTCTGCCGCACTACAAGCCGCAACAGCTGTTCTTCCTTGGCTTTGCGCAGGTAATGTTGTATACAACTGACACTCTGAACGCGTACTCGTTGTTCACGAGAGACACGCTGCCTGGTCTGCCGCACTACAAGCCGCAGCAGCTGTTCTTCCTCGGCTTTGCGCAGGTAGGGAATAAATACCACATAACGATCCGTAAGAAACAAACTACCCTTTTTAGGAAAACTTGCAAAATTTTCCAACGCAGGCTGGATTTAAACCAACGATTTCCGCCATCTGTACTGGCGGCTCACTCCAAGTCCGCGAATTAAGCAAGTATGTCTTGACCTAGTGGTCAACGACAAAACGCGTGGTAGTTTTCCAAATTTTACCTACACCTAACACGGGTAGTGTTTTGAAAATTTGGTATTCATCAACCTACCCCTTTCTATCGAACAGTAAATTGCACGTATTACCACGCGGAATCTTGTACTTAGTGTTGTTGAAGTATATTAAATTTTCGTCATAAAAGAAAGACCTAATATTCAGTTTCTAGAAATTGTATCATAATGCATGGCATGAAATTCTACTTTTTAAGAGAATCGTACTAGTAACCTCAAGTGTTACTACTTAATAAAGCATTTTACAATAACTTAACAGAAAAAGTACCTACGAGTAAACATTCACCAGTTTTTGTCCTTCGTTCATAAAATATCTTTTTCTTTCAGATATGGTGCGGCAACTCAACAATAGGAGCTCTCAAATCCAAGATGGTTGAGGGTGTCCATAGTCCAAACAAAATCCGAGTCATTGGGACACTCAGCAACTCAAAAGAGTTTGCAGAGGCTTGGCAGTGCCCGAGTGGGTCACCCATGAACCCACATCACAAGTGCATATTGTGGTGATAGTACTTAAGCAACAAAATGTGATCTTAGCTCTAAGTAAACCAAAGACATTTACTCTACTAGGTTACCAATTAGTTACCGCTATAGATTTATGTACAAATGTATTTTTTTACTGGAGAATAGCAATGCATGTATGCCCTTCGTTGAACTATGTTCGACTTGCATTTATTGCAGTTTGTATTCTGAGAAATTGTCTTCAATGTTTTTTCTCTCAGAAATATTGTAGAAATAGGAATTACAATCTTTAAATTGTGCCAATTGCTAGAAAAGAAATAACAATGAAACAATATTATTATAATATAAGCTATAGGTATGTTTATTTCTATGAAATGGACCATTATAATGTAAATCCTATCGAAAAGTTTACGAAATTCTGATTAGACTTAGGTGTCGGGCATGTATGCATCTCTGTGTCTCAAAAAATAAAAACTATTTATTACAAAATTAAAGAAAAGTGAATTACCAGTTCAAAGTTTTATTTCTTCCTAATGTATTGGAATTTGTACACTGGTGCTGAGTCTTTTGTGCCTCGTTGGACTCTTTTGGGTTTCATAATTTTGGCACTTTTGTCCTGTAGGTGGCGTTTCAACTCCATCTTCTGTTGCACTACTGTCAACTGTTTTTCTCTCTCAATCCTTGTGGCAAGCTCTTTGTATGTTTTCTCCTTTTTCTTCTTCATTAATTTTACGGTCTGAAAATTAAAGAAAAACATTCTTTAAAATATACTCGAAAATTCGAACCTTACTAGATAAAAGTAAAAGGAATAAACAGACATTTCAAAACTATCTAGTTCACAAATGCTTTTAACAGTTTTTTTTCGTAACACCTGTAGGTAGTACATAGGGCTACAGAAATATTGGTTTCTTCTCTAACCTTCTATCAAGGGTAAGCATTACAGTCAGTGACATAATGAAGAAGAATAATTAAATTAGTGGTAAAAAGAGGCTAACTAAGTCTTTTTCAGGAGGCATTTTGTCCATGCAGCAAAAAATGATTTTTTTTAGGTTCTTAGGTTGTCATCTAACCTTGCATCAGACTTTAGCCACTACATTTTTTTTAAAGAATTTATAAAAATAATCAATTGTACCAACCTCTTCATCCAAATCTGGCAGGGCAATCTTGTTCAGATCGGAAAGCCGTGGACGGTTTGACTTCCTTCCCAGAAGAGAGGGATGTGTGTCTAGTCTCTTAGCCAGATCAAAGTCTTTTTCCTCTCCCTCATCTACGAAGAAAGTGTGGGTGTTCGGAGTAGCATCTGCTATGTCTGTCATGTGCATTTGAGACTGAAATTATGTAGGAGATAAAAATATTAAACAAATTAATGAAAATTTTATTTGTAGAGGGTGTCTACATTGTAAGGTGTTATATAAAGTAAACAAGAGCTTTTTGAAAGACTTATCATTTTAATCACTGTTGAGTGCACTGCTATACAAGGTCAGGCAGAATTTTAAGTAAACATAGTTGTACACTATGTCCAGATAGTACTGTCAATATCACTGTACCTACAACTTGTGCAGATAAAGAATAGACTTGACTTAGCATCCTTCTCATATGTCATATAATATCAACAATGTTGCCAATACAGGATAAAAACTTTATCTGCGCAGACTATACATACTTTTTTTTTTTTTTCTGCCCATAGAGTAATCCCAGAGTAAGGTTCATGCATGCATCTCATTAGTACGAGGTGCAACAGCCGGGCAGGCTGCTAGCAATTCATAATAAGATAATAGGCATACCTGCAGCCTATTTATTCGCCGGCTTTCAACTGTTCGTTTCATGTTGATATACTTGATATCCTGCGTCTGCATGAGCTTGATTTGTTCAGGCCCATGTTCATCTTCCTTCTGC